AAGAGGGAAGGGGAGAGATCAGGAGAGAACAGGTAGATTTGTGTGTCATATAAATGATATTGGAAGCCAATATAGAGAACAGTAGGGGACCAAGGACTGAACCTTGGGGGACACAAACAGAGAGGAGTTGGGGAGAAGAAGCAGAGCCAGATAAAGAAACACTGAAAGAGCGCTGGGAGCGGTAAGAGAGAGCAATATCTTGTAGATCGATATTGCGGAGGTTGAGAAGAAGCTGTTGATGATCAACAGTGTCAAAATCTGCAGACAGGTCAAGGAGAATTAGGATAGAATAGTGACCACGAGATTTTGTAGAGAGTAGATCATTGGACACTTTGGTCAGTGCCGTTTCCACAGAGTGCTTAGCGCGGAAACCAGACTGAATCGGGTCTAGCAGAGAGTTGGACTTGAGGAAGTCTGTCAATCTCGCATACACAACCATTTCAAGGATCTTGGATGCAAAAGGCAGTAGCGAGATAGGACGGTAGTTGGACGGGGAGTTAGGGTCAAGGTTCTTCTTTAGAATTGGGGTTACTGTTGCATGTTAGAAGGGCGATGGAAATATGCCAGAGGAGAGAGAGAGATTGAGAATTTTAGTGAGAGGTAGAGAAAGAGAAGAAGACAAAGTACGGATGAGATGTAAGGGAATTGGATCTAGGGAGCAGGTGGTGGGGCAGGAGGACTGGAGCAGAGCAGAAACCTCTTCTGCTGTAGCGGATGCGAATGAACATAGAACAGCAGAGGGATTAAGGTTAGGGGAAATATTGTAAGGGGAAGAAGAAATATGCAAGATCTCTTCCCTGATTGTAGAGATCTTGTCAGTGAAGTGAGTTGCAAAGCCTGAGGCGGTCAAGTTAGTAGGTGGAGGAGGAACAACAGGGCAAAGAAGAGAGTTAAATGTGTGAAATAGTCGTTTGGGTTCGCGGGAGAGTGTGGTTATGAGGTTATTGGAGTAATTTACTTTTGCAGAGAAAAGAGCCAAGCTGTGTGAGCTCAGCATAAATTTATAGTGGAGAAAGTCAGATGCACAGTGAGACTTTCTCCAACAGCATTCAGCAGTTCTGGAGCATTTTTGGAGGTATCGAGTCATCTTGTTTTGCCAAGGTTTTTGTTGGGGGCGCTTGCTGCGTTTAAATGTAGGAGGAGCCATAATGTCTGAGGAGAGAGGAGAGGGTGGAATTGTAGAAGGAGGTTGCAGAGCTAGGACGGGTGAGGTTTGAGATAGGTAAAAGAAGAGTTTGGAGATTAGTGGAGAAATGCTCTAGGTTAAGACATTGGAGGTTTCTGTGAGACTGATGTTCAGACGGTGGTGTCAATTGGGTCTTAGGTATGCTGATGTCAAAAGTCAGCAGATGGTGGTCAGATAGAGAAAAAGGAATATTGGAGAGATTAGAGGTGGTACAGAGATTGGTGAAGGCGAGATTAAGAGTGTTTCCCGCTGTATGGATTGCCAAATTGGACAATTTGCATAAGGCCAAAGGAGGAGGTTACAGAGAGCAGACGAGAGGCATTAGTGCAATTGGGGTTGTTGATTGGGATATTGAAATCCCCAAGTATAAGGGAAGGAGTGCTAGAAGAGAGGAAGTGGGGAAGCCAGGAAGAAAAGTGGTAGATGATAGCAATTCTTAAAGGAGTGGGTTTAAATAGGCGGACAATGTGAACTTCAAAAGAAGAAAAGGATAGGGCAGGGGGAGTTCTGATTGGTTGAAAGGTACATTGAGGGGAAAGAAGGATGCCTACACCACCTCCTTTACAGTTGAGCCTGGGAATGTGAGAGAATTGTAGCCCACCAAAACATATAGAGGCAGAAGTAGCAGTATCAGAGGGGGACAGGGGACAGCCCGGTCTCTGTAAGTGCAAGTAGTGTGAGTGACTTTAGAGGTGACACCACCGTCTGAACAACTGAGATGAAAAAGTTGTGTATGGGTGTTGATTTTAAATTACTGCAGATGGAGCGGGCGTTCCAGAGTGCACACTGAATGTTGGTAAGTAAGCACTTGAGGTTTGTGGGGTTTCTGGTTTTCTTAGTGTGTGTAGAGAAGGTGAAGGGCCCTGGAATGGGAGAGACATCACCAGCTGCTAGAAGCAGGAGGAGAGAAAGTGACAGGAGGTGTGAATGGGTTTTGTATGCATGGGGTCTAGGATGAGATCGATTGTGGGTAGGAGTGAGAGAGTAGAAAAATGAGTGCAAGGCATGAGATGAGAGAAGGGGGGAGTGTAGCAGAGCGAGGCATATGTAAATGTGGATGGGGGATGAGTGAAGTGGATGTAAGGAGAGATTTTTATACTGCGGGAGAAGGAGGAAATAAGGAGGAGGAGGAGACAGATCATTGCTTAACTGGGAAAAAGTAAACTGCCTACATTCAAATGTTTTGCAGTTATGGTTTCACTGTTTATTTAGAGTTAACCCCTTAAGGACACATGACGGAAATATTCCGTCATGATTCCCTTTTATTCCAGAAGTTGTGTCATTAAGGGGTTAATTTTCTATTAGGATTATTTTTAGGTTAGGAGTTTTTTACAAGCTGAGCTCTCTCAAATTATCAGGCTTGCTCATTATCATGGTACCTTGGTAATTATCGAGCCAAACAGAAAAAAGAGGGGATTAGGAATGACACATAAGGAGGCTTAAGAGATACTCACTGATTAACAGGATTCCTTAATAATACACAAACATTTTTTCACAATTTAGGTAGGTGCCAAGTTTCACTATGGTGCCAGCCAATTAATCAAGATACACCGCTGCGCTCTCTATCACCGTAGTCTATTATCTCCTTTATTGCAGATTATTTCATGTCTTCCCACACTCCTTTTTGTTAGGCAGCTTTTCCTGATTATATAATTTCTGCGTTTCCTGTTGTCTCTTCCTCTTGTTTATCTGCAGTCTCCTCTGTGGACTGTTTTTTCTAACATTATTTTTATATATTCACTCAGCACTTTAGTTTTTAAATACCTCCATTATACCTTTCCACTCGTGCCGTATTTCCAGTGTTTTAACCCACAGAATGCCCATCCAGCATCTTCATCTTCATTCTAAAACCACTGCTGATTGTCATGAACTCATCACAGCCATTCCCAGTCTTAGGCTCTGCCCATTCTCAATTATCGCTGCCCAGAGTCTCGATCATTCTTGTTGTGTCAAATTCCTCTTCGATGTACAATAGACCACTTCCCAACATTTCATACTCCCAAGAGCAATTTCAAACCAATTCTTGTTATCGTAAACATCCACAAAGACCCACCCTCAGCCTCAGTGTCTTAACATCAGTGTTCTCAAATCTTCAGTTAATTTATCACATTCTCTGAAGCATAATGGTCTTAAACATTTATACTATGCTACAGCAATACACTCTTAAAATGCTATAACATTCAGTAGATGAATTACAAGATGTTATTCAACTTGCAGAAGACTTCCCACGTTCTGCATGAACTATTCCTTGATATTACTGACTCAAGCTGGTGATGCCAGTGGGGGGAGCAGATTCATGATAGAATTAAGAAGATTGTGGGTACCCTGTGCCCTTCATGCTAACAGATGTTACTACATCATACAAAATGTCCCTGTCACTGGACCTGGTAAGACCGAACCACCCTTACCTGACTGCCATGACTGACCCTCCTGTCCTGAGACAGGAGACCCAAGTGGACCTAGTTTAGCTGGGATGAGGGATAGGGAAGAGACCAGGGAGGTAGGGTCACAGGGGGAGAGGATCTTTTGGTAAAGGAGGACAGGGAGAGTAGTGTGGGGGAGACAGGGCAGAAATGGAAAGTGATCCATCAACTTGTTGTCTTTTCCTACTGATGAACCTAGCTGATGACCCTGACCCATGAGGTCCCCCTAGTGGGCCTCTTAGGAATAAGTAAGACCAGGGCCAGGCTGACTAAGGCTTTCAACTGGCCACGCATCTCGTGTATGGTTACTCAGTTTTGTAACTCCTGCGATGCTTCCCAGCGGATCGCCAAAGGGAAGGGGCAGGGGAAGGTACTGCTCCAGTCTATACCCATAGTGGTGGCTGCCTTTCAGAGGGTTACGAAAGATATAGATCTGAAAGGCAACCACATCGTCACATTGTCATGGTTGTGGACTATGCCATGAGATACCCTGAGGCTGTAACTCTGTCCCGGATTACTGCGGTTGCAGGGGCAGATGCCTTGGTGACTGTGTTCACTTACGCTGGATTCAAGCAGAACCTGTCTGCTGCTAAGACCAAACAGAACGTTTGGTATAACTGGAGAGCTAGGACCAGGGAATATGTCCCAGGGCAGAAGGTCCTTGCTCTGGTACCCTTCCCAGCAAATAAGCTGCAGACTGCTTGTCGCAGTCCATCATGGTTTTTTAGGAAGTTAAACGACACCAATTATGCTGTTGCCAATGACCACCTGCTGAGGACCAGGACAAGTCCCCTGAGACAGACTGCTAATAGAGTCACCTGGTCTATGAGAGGGTCCATTCACCAAGAGCTAGACAAAATGCTATCCCTGGGTGTGATTGAGCCCTCTCATAGTCCCTGGGCATTACCTGTGGCGCTGGTGCCTAAGAAAGATGGGACCACTAGCTTCTGTATCGACTATTGGTGACTGAACGAGAAAATAGTGACCTATGCCTACCCCATGCCCCTTATTGACAAGTTGAACATGTTAGTGGGGGAAGAGTATGTGACTACACTAGATCTGGCCAGGGACTATCGGCAAATTCCATTGGAAGAGGCGGTGAAGAAATCTGCCTTTATCGCTGCATTCAGGCTTTACCAATTTTCGGTAATGCTGTTTGGAATGAAGAACACACCCGCCACCATAGGCGTGCGCAGCCTATTGCATTAGGGTGTGCACCCTAAAGCACAAACACACGCCGCGCGTGTGTGTGTATGTATCTATATATATATATATATATATGTATGTGTATATATATATATATATATAAAAAAAATACAAATTAATGGTTGCACTCACGGTTTTTCCAATTAAAAGTCCAAAGTTTATTGTCAATTCATAAAAGCTGCGATCAACGTTTCAGTCCTACCCAGAGGACTTTCATCAGGATCATAAAAGTTTTTTTATGATCCTGATGAAAGTCCTCTGGGTAGGACTGAAACGTTGATCGCAGCTTTTATGAATTGACAATAAACTTTGGACTTTTAATTGGAAAAACCGTGAGTGCAACCATTAATTTGTATTTTTTGTATTTTTTGGCTATATATGGTTGGCACCCGGTCATGAAGGGAAATTCAGCGTGAGTGCAGGAACTGATTTTTATTTTTTATATATATATATATATATATATATATATATATAGTAAACGAAGAAAAGCAGGCTGCCCTCACGGACTTACGAATTCAAAATGTGGTATTTATTCCATCAAAGAAAAGAGAACAATCAACGTTTCGGTCCACACAGGGACCTGCCTCAGGATCAAATAGTGCAAATATATTCTAAAACTACCTCTAATATATATCCAATAACATTAATCATAAGTTACTTACCCCAGGTGATGGAGAACTTCCCCGGCGTTCACTGCTGAACACCGCGCATGTGCGCCCTATCGAGTGCCCTCACGCTGACCCCCGGTCCATGCGTGATGACGTAAAGAACGCTGTTTCCATGGCAACGGTTACAACTTTCGCCATGGAATCGCTGTGACTACTATGTAGCAAACTATTACCCGATAGTGAAAAACTGTGTATAAAAAAGAAAGAAAATGAACTAAATAATTGTCCACATACATAAATAAGTAAATATCTATCCACAAAGTCTCCATTAGCTAATTATTAGTATCAGACTCCAAATACTGTACACATTTCGGTAAAGACTCCTATATCAATTTTACATCCTGATGTGATTTAAAATTTAATGATTAGATTTTTAGAAAGTAGAAAGTAAAAATTCCAGCTATATATACCACCGTTACTGTACATTTAAAGGTGTAGGACTCTTAAGATCCTATTACACCTTCGCTTGGAGACTACTCCTTTAGCTTAATATTATTACAGTTTTCAAGATGGGTATCCTTAATTAAATCAATGAAATAGCTTGTGAATACTTCCATAGTCTAAAAGGAGCCTAAATCTAAACCTAATGGGACACTAGTTAACATATATACAGTCTTATGCCTAGACACATAAAGGATATACAAATTTCCATAATTATAAACTCAGGTAAGTTATATATAGTGCTAATTTTAAACTTTAATTTATTTAGAAATCTTTATTAAATAGGGGCCATTCCCCATTATTATTTATTAAATTAACCTATATTACCATAAGTCCCTAATATGTGAACATAACCTTTACTGTCTGTACACAATTAATATTTACAAAAAATATATACAAAGATTATTAACATTATTATTGCAAGCATTAAAGGAACGAGTGATATGATATTGTTTCATTAAGTCCTTTTGGTGAAACCGTATCAAGTCTGAAAATCCAAAATGTCTCTCTGTTAAGTAATAATTTGCCCCTATCCCCACCTCTCTGTGGTTCAGGGATGTGGTCTATCGCCGTAAATTTAAGTGTTGTAAGTGGGTGCTGTAAGTCCAAAAAATGCCTAGCAGCTGGTTTATCACTTTTGCCATCTCTGTAAGCAGTTCGAATATTGGAGCGATATCCTCGAATACGATCACATAGTTGGGTTTCTGTTTTGCCTATATAAGACAAGCCGCAAGGGCATGAAATTTTATATATCACAAACTTCGTTCTGCAGGTAATTGTAAAATTAATCAGGAACCTTTCATTTGTATGTGGATGGTTAAAGGTGCGTGATGGTACCATGTGGCTGCATGTTACGCAGCCTAGACATCTAACGCTACCACGTTTTTGGATATTATCGGTTTGTAAGTAACTTTGTGTAGGATCCGTCTTTACCAGCATATCCCGTAGGTTTCTATTCCGTTTGTAACATATAAGAGGCTGTTGTTTGAAAATCACTGGAAGTGTGGAATCTTGAGCCAACATATTGCAGTTCCTTTTTATGGTATTTGATAAATTAATTGCCTTGTCATTATAGG